TTTTGGGTTTCAAACCAACACAAAGAAGTGGATCCTGCAATGAATCCCCCTCACCTAGATTCCACGATTCTCAAGATTTTGCCGCATTTGCTTCTGCTTTGAGTTTGTATCTTCCTCCCACAAAACAATGTCCAGCACTGCTTTGAATAAACAGCACTTGAAACAAAGGAGATGGGACTTGGTGAGAACTCAAGTTTGCAGGACAGGCTCCTGAGGGTGAAGTGCACTGGAGGAGTGGGTAAGTCATATAAAAACTTGTCCATGCTTGAGTACCTATTATGAACCTGGCACTTTACAGTTTATCTCATTTCACCCTCACCAGAACCTTTTGGGGTAGGTACTGTTATCCCTATTTTACAGATGAAGAATGAAGCTCAGAAAGGTGAAGTGTCCTCCAGAGGGGCAGTAACAGAGTTGGAATTTGAATCCAAGCCTTGTGCCCTTCTCACTGGTCTGTGCAGCCTGCTTCAAAGGGTGCCAAACAGGCTGCCACCTGCTCTGCTTCAGTTTTGCAGAGCACAAGACATGCATTGTATGTGTCCTTGCTGAGTAGTGTGCACACACACGCACACCCACGCAGCATCCCGCACGATCACGGTACAATTACACTGATTTTTGTCTATGGGATCAGTCTCTTCATCTTATAAATTGCCCTTTAACCCTACAAGCGTAGAAGGGAAGGGGGGATGCTAGGGGGCAGAAGTCTGAGCTGTGTGTGTCCCAGAAGTTGAGGCAGTTGGGAACCCTCTCCCACAGCCTCCTGGGGCCACATCATTCTCCAGAGGGAAACAAAGTTTCTCTCCTTTCCCACCAGTACAATAGGTTCTCTTCAGAGCTCCACAATGACCTTGCAACTCGCACCCTCCTCTCCAGCCATGCTGCCTCCCTCAATAAACATTGCTCTTTGCAGCCTTTCTTCTTTTGCACCAACCCCACACCCCACACCGATTATGGTGTTCCTCTAGCCTGCAATACCCTCTCCACCACTCTTCAAACCTAAATCCCCCAAGTCAAGGTTCAAGTCTCACCTCCTCCCAGAAGCCTTCCCTGATTCTGACCACCACCTCTCAACTGGTCTTTTTTTTTTTTATCTGCATCTTGATACTCTGCACTCTCACCTTGTTCTCTGGTGGTTTCTTCTAAGCTGTTTCCTTGACCACACTGTAAGCCCATTGAGTTCACATTTTCATCTAGAGAGAAATAAAGGAAAGTCTTTCAAGAAAGGTGTGGTCAGCTTCCTTTTCCTTCCCATGGTCTTCTTGCTCCGTCCATGTTGTCACTTGGGTGTCTAGCTTTGCTACCACTAGCATCTTTTCTCCAAAGATCATGAGGTAAAAAAGGAGATTTGCATGTTTGCCTTGACTCTCCTATTTATTTTTTCATCCTTGTCTTTCATCTGCTCAGGTGAGCAGAGGGCTAACTGGGTTCTGAAAAGCCTTAAACCACAGAAAATTCACCCTGAAGCTACTCTCCAGCTTTGCGCCTTTTTATCTAAGCATTTGTGGGAGGGAAAACAAAATCTATTGGGCAGGCTAATGCCTGCAACACTACCTCCCACTTCCCTCCCCTTTATCTACTTCACCTCCCATTCTTCCTCCTTCCTCCCCTCCCTCCAAAATGCCCTGTCCTCCAATTACAGCTAGGAAGAGACAACCCATTTTCTAGATTTCAGGAACTCTGAGCAGGGAAGTGTTGGGTGGCAATGTTCCACAGACTCAGAGATGGGGGGCCACCTCATGCCACCAAAGGAATTCTTTTCACTTGGCAAAATGCTGGACACTGAAAGGTCACCTTAATCTTTGAGCAGTGATAGCTAGGATAGATCTCCCTGTCTGGCCAGGGATGATTGAGAGGCAATGGCTGAGCCTCCAGCCCCCTCCACCTGGAAATTTAAGTTGGGATGGGGGTGAGAAACAGTATCCTAGCCCTTAAAAAGGCCTCTGTCCAATGCCCAGCCTTCCAGAGTCTGTCAGTAAAGCCATCGAAATTGTTTGTGATTCTCTTAGTGTTACCCATACTTCCCCCCAAGCTGAGCCTAAAACCAGAGATGCTTCTAGCATGTTGTACCTGATTCTGTATTATGCATTCTCACATATCCCCTCAAGGAGGTGGGAACAGGAAGACTATTGTTACCCCATTGTACAGATAGAGGAACTGAGGCACTGAGGGAGACATGACTGGTCTAATTATCTCACAGAAAGGGAACTTCCTTTCTAGCTTTGGGGACCTCCTTATCCCTAGGGGAGTCGCAGTCACCTCTGCTAGGGTTTCCAGCACTGAGGAATTCTGACAAAGTTTCTAGGAATGGAGGTGAAGTGGGATGGTCCGTTCCTCTCTGTCACCCCAGTTCCTTTCACCAAGCATCCACAGGTCGCATCTTCTTTTTCCCTGAATCTTTCCTGGCTTCCTCCAGCAGCTCTCAGCACTCCCCGCCCCTGCACCCCGCCCGTTTCCCAAAGGCCTGTCAAGAACCGCCCTCTGCTGGGCCACTCCCTCCTTCCCTCAGCTAATTCAGGATGGGGAAAGGCCTCTGGGCCTGGCCTTTCTGATTCAGCAGGCTGAGGGCCCCAAACAGCCACATGGACTAGTGAAAGAGAGAGAGATTCTCAACAGAGAGATTCTCAACAGAAGCCAGATTCTCCCCAAGTAAGAAGGCTGACTCTGAGCATCCTCCATTGGAGCTGTGAACTTGCCCTGCCCTTGCCCTGTTAGTTAAAAGGTGCCTGCCGGCCCGCCTCTAAGAAAGTGCCACCCTTGGCCCTTGAGGGGAGGTGAGTGCAATGATTCACCCATATTCTGCCCTGTCCCCCTTTGACCACAAGGATTTGTATGATGGAGGATTAGGGTAGAGAAAGGGCTCTTTGTGCAACACAGATCAGAACTCAGACTCCGGCCAGCCTTGGAGAGATTGATCTGTGTGTGCAGTTCAGGGTTCCTTTGTGGCCTGGATTAACTGGGAGAGGGTTCAGAGTGTGTCCAGGGTTAGGAATCTCTTTTTCTAAGAAGCACTAAAAAGGTCCCTAGACTTGGCCTCAGGGGGCTTGACTTCTAGACCTGTCTCTGACACCCATTCTCTGCGTGTCTGGCCTTAAGCAAGTCACTTCCCCTCTTTGGTCTTCAGTTTCTCCGCCTAAACAATGGGGAAATAAGCATCTCTAATGTCCCATCTAGTTCTGAGAATGTACTACTTGGGGTCTGTGGGAATATTTAAAAAGCTGGTCTATTAATCTTGTATGATTAAAAATAAAGCAATGTAAGGGGAAAAAATCTGAGAAATGCAAAGTATAAAAGAGAAATGAGATACTATTTTCCCTCTACTAAAGTAGTATACTATAAAATACTATAAAAGTATCACATGCTCACTGTAGAAATTTTGAAAATAAGGGAACTACAAAAGATCATAAGAATCATTTGTAATCCTTCCATGTATTTTACCACCATTAACATTCCTGTCCTTTGTTTATATTTATTATTTATCTTAAATAAAAATGGAATCATGATGAATATAACTGATTTATAACCTGTATTTTTCATATAAAATGTATATTGCATTTTTCAATGTCATTAACTATTCTTTGAGGACATGGTTTTTAAAAACTCCGTAGTATTCTAGTTGATGAATGTGCCATAATTTATTTACCCAATCTCTTGTTGGCTATTTAGATGGTTTACCCTTTTCCTGTTATTATAAACATAATTTCTTATGAACATCCTATGTGCATACCTGATTTTAGGAACAATTCAAGAGGTATGCATACTAGAATTTTATGATGGAAACTTTCAAACATATACAAAAGTAAAATAGTATAACAAACCTCCATGTACTCATTTCCTAGTTTCAATAATGATCAACTGATGGCCAATCTTATTTCACCAACACCCTTACCCACGTCTTCCTGCTAATGGATTACTTGTGAAGCAAACCCTGGACATCAAGTAATTTTGGTATGTGTGTTTTTAATATTTTGACACACAATACAAAATTGCCCTATTAAAAGACTACAAGTTTACATTTGTACCAGAATATTCACAATAGCCCATTCACCACAAACTGGGAACAACCCAAGTGACCATCACCAAGAGAATGAATAGAAAAAAAGGGTGTATTTATTACAAGGGAATATCACTCAGTGATGCAAAGGAACAAACTACTGATGCAAGCAACAAAATGGATGAAACTCAAAAACATGCTGAGTGAGGGAAACCAGACCAAAATACTATATACTATATAACCCCACTATATAAAAGTCTAGAAAATACAAACAAAGTTATTGTGACAGAAAGCAGATCAATAGTTGCCTGTAGACAGAGGTGGAGGAAGAGATGGACTATAAAGGCATATGAGCAAAATTTTGGGGGTGATGGATATGCAGTACATCTTGACTGTGGCAGTGGTTTCATGGGTGGATATGTATGTGAAAGCTCATTCATTCTACAATTTAGATGGATAAGGCTACTTGTAGCTAAATTATCCCTCAATAAAGCTGATTTTTAAAATGTGCTTCCATAAACTTTGGCTGGCAGTGTATTTAAATAAATAAATGTTATTAAAATAAATAAAAACATATACATACATATTTGCCAACCTGATGGGTGAAAAATTGTCAGTATCTCAATATTTGAATTTGCACTTCTTTAGTAATAGTGAATATTTTTCCTAGTTTATTGACCTTTAGTATTTCTTGTTTTATGAACTGCCAATTCATGGCCTCTGCCTAGTTTTCTAATGAGATGTTTATCTTTTCTCTTGTGGACTTGTAATACTTCTTTTTGTATCAAAGATATGAAAACTTTGTCGTATATTGCAAATAGTCCCTACTGACAGGCCTTCTATTTTGCTTGTGGTGTTATCATTTTTTAAATACAGAAGTTTTTTTTCAAGTCAGAGAAAGACAAATACCATATGATCTGTCTTATATATGTGGAATCTAGAAGTAAAGCAGAACACAACAAGCTCATAGATACAAAGAACAGATTGGTGGTTGCCATAGGTAGGGGATGAGGCTAGAAGAAATGGGTAAAGGGGGTTAAAATATGTAAGTTTTACATTTTTACATAGCCAAATATACATTTTTGTCCTTTATTGTTTCTTTGTTTACCTTTATGCCTAGAAAGACTTCCCATCCATTCAGGACCAGGGGAATATTCACCCATTTCCTTCTAGGTTGCTAATGGTCTTATTGTTTGCCACTGAGCACCAGGGAGCATAGTGGATAAACTGAAGTTTCCACTCTGGAGCCAGATGGAGCTGCGACCAAATCTCAGCTCCACCCCCTACTTCGTAGTTGTGTGACCAAGGGCATCTTCAGCTTCTTCCTCTATAAAGTAGAGATAATAATAGTTTCCAGCTTATAGGATTGGTTTCAGGATTAAATGAAATAATGTATGAAAAGCAGCTGGCCCAGCACCTAGCACAGAGCTAGTGCTCAAGAAACATTGGCAGCTGTAACTGGATATTTTGGTTTTGGTTGCTCAGTATCCAAACACCCTAATGTTGTGAAACAAAGACTAAGAGACATGGAAGGCACACATTCCCTCTCCCTATCCACTGGCAGCTAGGTAGTGGGGATGTGGCCCAGGGTCTGCCAGTCAAATGCTATCTAACCCTCAGGATTTTGGAACTTAAGCATATGGCACTGCAGGGGATAACAGCAATTATTCCTGGAGGTCCCAGCAGCCAGGTGTCCATAAGCACACTGGTAAATCTCTAGAGGGGACCACACAGACCAGGCACACTGAGCAAAGCAGTCTTGTGGCCTGATCCTGGCTGTGCCTGCTTCCCTTAGCTCCTACCCTTTCTCCAAGGCTGGTTCTTTACTTTTCACTCACAGTGAGGTTCCTAATAACCTTCCGACAAACTCCTTCTGCTTCAGTTATAACTGGATTCTGTGGTTTGCTAGTCAAGAACTTGACTAATCAGGTCACTATGATTTAACTCTGGAATTTACTTTGACAGCAGGCGTGAAGTGCCATCAATAGAACTAAAAGGTATCCTACAGTATGGGAGAATATATTCATAAATGACAGATCTGATAAAGGGTTGACATCCAAAATATATAAAGAGCTCACGCACCTCAACAAACAAAAAGCAAATAATCCAATTAAAAAATGGGCAGAGGATCTGAACAAACAGTTCTTCAAAGAAGAAATTCAGATGGCCAACAGACACATGAAAAGATGCTCCACATCGCTAGCCATCAGAGAAATGCAAATTAAAACCACAACGAGATATCACCTCATACCAGTAAGGATCGACACCATCCAAAAGACAAACAACAACAAATGTTGATGAGGTTGTGGAGAAAGGGGAACCCTCCTACACTGCTGGTGGGAATGTAAATTAGTTCAATCATTGTGGAAAGCAGTATGGAGGTTCCTCAAAAAGCTCAAAATAGAAATACCATTTGACCCAGGAATTCCATTTCTAGGAATTTACCCTAAGAATACAGAAGCCCAGTTTGAAAAAGACATATGCACCCCTATGTTTATCACAGCAGTATTTACAATAGCCAAGAAATGGAAGCAACCTAAGTGTCCATTAGTAGATGAATGGATAAAGATGTGGTACATATACACAATGGGATATTATTCAGCCATAAGAAGAAAACAAATCCTACCATTTGCAACAACATGGATGGAGCTAGAGGGTATTACGCTCAGTGAAACAAGCCAGGCAGAGAAAGACAAGTACCAAATGATTTCACTCATATGTGGAGTATAAGAACAAAGAATAAACTGAAGGAACAAAACAGCAGCAGAATCACAGAACCCAAGAATGGACTAACAGTTACCAAAGGGAAAGGGACTGGGGAGGGTGGGTGGGAAGGGAGAGATAACGGGAAAAAGAAAGGGCACATTACGATTAGCATGTATAATGTAGGGGGAGGCACGGGGAGGGCTGTGCAACACAGAGAAGACAAGTAGTGATTCTACAGCATCTTACTATGCTGATGGACAGTGACTGTAATGGGGTTTGTTGGGGGGGGCTTGGTGAAGGGGGGAGTCTAGTAAACATAATGTTCCTCATGTAATTGTAGATTAATGATACCAAAAAAAAAGCAACAGGAATCTACACAACGGACTATTAACATGGCCACTAAAATAATGTTTATAAGGCCCTTTTTTAATAACATGAGGAAATTCTTATTATAATTTTAAAAATAAAAAGGCAGGCTGTAAAACGTTATATTGATTTGAATCACAAACTGTTTGGAAAAAACATGCATTTTTAAAAAGAGAGGGTCCAGGAAATGCACCAAAGTGTTAACAGTAGTTGATTGTTTCGAATGGTAGTTTAGTAACAATACTAGGTACCTGCAAAATATTAAGGGTCTATACACTCTCAGGTTCTGTGCTTGGCATTTTACTTATATAAATAATCCCATGTCTTTACATAACAACCCTGTAAGGCAATTAGTCCCACTTTACAGGTGAGAAAACTGAGGCTCTCAGAGGCTCACCCACTATATCCACATAGCTCAGAGGTGGCATAATTAAAAATTATTGATTAAAAGTTATGTTTCTTCTTTTCTCTATTTCCCAGGGGGTTTTTTTACAATAAATATGAGAATTCTATACCTTTTCTCAACTGTCCCTTTCTTTATCTAATTAATCCTTCTTGGATTAGGAACGAAAAAGCATTCTCTCCTGCTCCTTAGAATTTATAATCTCATATAAGCGCAGGAGCACCTGGTGGGGAGAGATTCAGTCCCTAGTCCTAAGCATAATGGGGCACACAGTGATGCCAAACAGAGGTTTGTGGAATAAAGGACAGAATGAAGGAACAAATGAGTAACAGGCACAGAAAAAGTTCATTGTGATGGTGTTAATGCCTTATATACATCAGGAGTTTGGGGAGGAGACAGCTTTTTCACCAAATGCTGAGAAGAGTGCCTTTAGGTCTACAGCCTTCCTATGAAAGTTGGATCCCCTTGTCCTGTGCAACTCAGCGAGTCATATCTCAAGGAGTATCCCTAGCCTTGGAGATTCCATGCACAGGGCCTGCCACCCAAAAAACTTCAACCTACCATGTTTCTCCCTGCTACCATGTCCCTATACTTGTGTTTGTCAGGCCCCAATTCCTACTGGGCTAAAGGGGGAGAGGCCTATGGTCTGAGAGATGCTGGAATTTCAGAGCACCCTAGAAGCACCTGGGGATACCAAGGAGTTGACTATATTTTGCAAGCTAAAAAAGAACAGAGAAAAGAATTCACGTGATTAATATGCCAAAAAGAAAGGGTCAGGGTGGCCAAGAAACACCTGACAGGCTCACTGGGACCTGGAATCTGGGTTTGGAATCTCTGCCCAGTGATTCCAATGGTGAGGCAACGCATATGATTAGAGGGGAGGGCAGGGCCAAGACAAACCTCTAGGTGCCCCTGGTCCATACTCACCAAGTGGGTGGCCACCTGTAGGGCAGGGGGACAGGGGACAGGATGACTTCATTTCCACCTGGTCTGTACTTCCCCAATGGAAAAAGTTAGCTGAGGGAAGTTTTCACTGAACCGGTAGCACTTGAGAAAATTATAACCAATTCCCAGTAATCAGCACCAATGAGGGCCTAGCAGAAGAATCTACAATTAAAGAAAAATAGCAATGTTTACAGTCCAATTTGTTTTAAAACAACACATTTACCTTTATAATGATTACAGTACAGGCTCCTACTAGAAGGGCTGGACTGTGCTCCAGCCCTTCTGCTCAGAATAATCCTTTCATGTGCACCTGTATCACCTGGACTCCAGAGCTCTCCAGCCCTCAAGGCCTTGTTCAAATTCTACTTCCTCCAAGAAGCCTTGAGGTTCCTCAGCCATTTCTCCCTCCTCCATACTCCCTCTAACACTTTCCTAGCCCTGGTAAAGCCTCTTTTACAGCCAGCCCTTTCTGTCTATCTTTCTGTGACCTCCTGTCCCTCTAGAGCAGAAGCTCCCAGAAGGGTGTGTACAGACTTTCAGCTGTGATGTCCATCTCAGCCGCCCCTGGACCTAGCACAGTGCCTAGCACAATGGATTCCTCACCCAAGCTTCATTTGTTGTTGCCCAGAGGACTGGACTTGGACTACCCAGCTCCCAGCAGACTTGGGCATAGGGAGCTCTAAGGACTGGGAGATTCCTGATTCCCAGGGCCCTGGGGGAGCCACTACGGATAACAGGGAGTTGTCCTTATTTTGCAAGTTATAAAGGGGTATTTACCGGACCGATTACAGCTGATTCTGTCGTTTCAGAAGTGGGGAAGCGGCAACCTAGCTGCCAGCGGCAGACCCCGGGATAATCAAGGCTCCTTCGGCGGAAGCACAGGATCTCCGGGTCCCCTATGGTCACTGGGCTCCGTAAGTGTGAGACCATAATGTTGAGGCAGGGGAGGAAAGGGAAAAAGAGGCGGAGGGCCAGTCCTCCCAGCCCTCCGCCCTCCCGCTCCTCCTTTCGCTCGCAGTCCCGGCAGGCCTCCCTCCTGGGCTCTTTGTCGGTAGTTCTGTCTGTGGGCTTTCTTTCGCGCTGGCTTTCGGCGCGCGCTCGCTCGCTCCGCTCGTTCACGTGACCGCCTGCTCTCAAAGACTCGGATCACCTCTTCCTGAGGCAGCACCTTTTGGTTGATAACAGGAGACACTCGGATGCTGGGGGACAAGATAGGTTTCCTTCCTCCGCTTTTTCCTCCTTGCCTTCACAGGCAGCTCCTGGGGCTCGGCTTCTGGCGCTCCACCCTTTTACCCCTCCCAGCCCCCACACGGTCCTCTCTCCCCACCCCCACCCCCGCCAGCCCTCTTTGGGTTGTGGGCTTCGGCGCGGTGACAGATGAAAGGATCTGGACGGACTCGGGGAGTAACCCCACCGCAGCTCCCCACCACGCGGCCCCTCCCTCCCCAGTCAGAGGTTTGGGGCTCACCTCGCCCCCCAACCTGTCCTGGTCTAGTTCGCGCCAATTGTTCCCTTGCGGCGGGTGTTGAGCCCCCGGGCGCCTGGAATGCTAGGGAAGGCACCGGGCGCAGGTGCGGAGACGCTCCGAGGTCGGAGGCAACTCTCTCAGTCCCCAGGCTGGGGAACAGTCAACCTAAGGAGGAGACTCAGGTCCTGGTCCTGCGGGGGGTGAAAAGGTCTCCAAAATCAGGGAGCCCGAGTCTCCTGGGACAGTGGCAGTCTCCCTGCCCTTTGCAGTACAAATTCAATTATTTAAAAAACGGGCTAATCCAAAAGCGTGATGAAAGTGCCCCGCAAAAGCAAACCTGAACCTACAAATTCTCATGAACTTCTGACAGAACCAGATTGTGTTTCTCTGCCCATCTTGCCCAGCACTTAGCCCAGCACTGGAGCTCCCCGTCCCACCAACAACCACCACCCCCAGGCCAAAATGGAATTAAAAGTGAACTTTCTCTCATTCCATTACCAGGGTAAAATTTTAAACAAGGGCCTTTTAAGACTGAAGTTGTCAAGTATATCAGACAAAATATTTCCAAAGCTGCCGCACTGTAAATGCACAGTTAGTGGCTCTAGTCTGGCCCCAGACACCATGGGGATGCATTTTCGAGCCTATGGAGGGACAGTTTCCCTGAGCCCCGAGCTGACTGCTTAAACCCACTTTAGTCAATAAAGCTCAGTTCCCTCAGGGGATATTGCCTGTGGCCAGATCCACACTTGCTGCACCATCGGCCTATCTCAGGCCCTTCCCAGTAACAAGTTACCCAAATGGGGGAGGGGAGGGGTTCCAGAAGGAATTCTCTCTCTCCAGGATCTTAGGGAGGAACTTGAGCTGAGAAATGCCCCAGGTTTCACAGGTACCAGGCAGAACAGTGATTGCTTGCAATAAAACCTAGTAAGAATGCCCATCATAGCACTTACAAAGTGCCAAGTACATAGTATGCATATTTAATCCCAATAACAGCCTCATGTGATAGGTACTATTATCATCCCCATTTAACAGCAAAGGAAACTATGGTTCAGAGAAGGTAACTTGAAGAGGTCACACAGCTGGTTAGTGGCAGAGCTGGGTTTGGAATCCAGGACTAGACAAGGGCCAAGCCCAGGCCCTTAACCGCTAGATTATCCTGCCACTTTAGGGAGTGATTCTAAAACTTTCCCAGAAGGAACAGGGACAATTATGGGCTTGGGCACAGTCTTGCTGGAACTTGGCTGTTTACCAAAATGTGAAAGGGTCAACAGGGCCCAAAGTCATCCTGCTGGCTTTTTAAATGCCACAGACTCCCAAGAAAAGTCCAGACTACTAGACTCCTGACCTAGAATCTGAAGGATGTGCCCCATCTGCACATCCCCACAGAAGTCATCCCACTTCCTGTTTCTGTATTTTCTGGATAGTGGTCATATTTGCAGGATGTCAGGCTATGAGTGAGCTTCTTGGAGGCTGTTATGGGGGGTTGGGGTGGGCTTGATAATGGACCCCCACTGCACTACCCCCAATCCTCCCTGGAGGGAGGACAAATAGGCCCATTGATTCAAAACTCTCCCAGAGGGCATTAGAGTAATGACTCTGGACTGTGTGATGCCTACACCCCCTTTGACCTCCTGACTGACCCCTGCCCTGGGAGGTTCCAAAGGCCACAAATCTCTGTTGCTTGTGGGCCATGTGGTTTGTGGCTGTTTGTAGTTTTGGAAGGGAGGAGGAACGACGGGGGTAGGGGACACTGCTTCTCACTGTGCTGGACTTCCCAAGAGAACTAGCAAGGGGCCGACAGGGCCCCTTCCAAACCCTGCCAAGACACACTGCAACTACTGATACGGGCTCCATCATTTATTTTTGAAAGCAGCAGGGCTCTTGGCTCATTTGCATAAACGTTTGCACTGTGTGCTATATTTTGGCTCTGGAGAAGGGCACCAGGGCACAGAACATACATAACAGGTTTGTAACTGGGCAGCTTGAACCTACCCCCTGGCTAGGTGAGCTAACCAGCCAGCGTAAGAAGATCCCTAACCCTCCTCTGTGTCTACTTTGAAAGCCCCTCTAGCAGAGCCCAGCACCAGGGACATGTGGCAATAGAAAGATCTTGCCCCTAAAGGGGTACTTCCAAGCCAGGTGTGTAGGTGGATGGGTAACTAAGTCAGTGTTTTGACTTAAAAAAGGGGGGGGAGGGCGTCTGAACTCCAGATTTCTATTGTTCAATAAAGAAACCTTTTTTTTCAGTGTCTTTTACGTGTCAGGCACTTTACTAGGCACTGAGATAATAGAACAAATATCAAGACCCTGTCTTCATCAATGAGGAGTCTAGCACAGGTGACAGAAACATTATTAAATATCCCTAGTACGGTGTGTTATCAAAGAGGATAAGAAGATTGCTAAGGTAGCACTCAACTAGAGTGGGGAAGGAATCTGGAGACTTGGTGCGGGGGAGGGGGGTGATTGCTTAATCTGAGTCTTAAGCATCAACTCTCCACCCCTGCCAACGTCTATTACTAATTCCCTGTGTGAGCCTCTTAAATGTTTAAGCGCTCTGGGTTGCCTCAGTCTCTTCATCTTCAAAATGGGAGCAATTATCTGTGAAGCGGGTCTCTGTGTGTTCTGTGTGCCCTACCTCCCACCTTGTCTGCTCCTATTGCCAACCAACATCGACGAGAGAGAGAGAGAGAGGGCGCATAACACCGTTTCCTTAAGATGCCAGGCCAACATGCGGCAGAGCCGGGAGAGTAGGGAATATTGAGAGGTGGTGGGAGTGGAAGAAAGACAAGGCTGGGTGCAGGGGGTGTGTCCCCAAAGGAAGGTGCGGGTGGAGGTGGGGGTTAACCTTCTATTCTGGGGTAACCATCCTTTTGTATTTAACCATCTTTCCCAGCCCCTCTTCTCCCCCACCGTCTTGAAATGGAGCTAAGTAGCCCATTGGGGGAAGAGAGTGGGGCTGCTGGGAAGAAGGCACCTCAGCAACAGCAGTCAAGTGTCTCCTGCTTCACCCCCACCCCCACCCCGTCGGCAGTACATCTTGAGGACGGGTGCACTAAGGGACGGTTGTCCTCTCCGACCATAACCCATCAGTTATCAACGGCCGGGATCACCTTAGTCTCTCTTTGGCATCGAGCGCTTGCCCGCACTTTTTAAAATCCCCAATCTGACCCACCTTCAGGAGGGGGGTCACCAGTTCCGTTAAGTTCTCTCCTCGCTGAGTAAAGAAGGACGATCTTGTACCCATCCCAAACGACCCCGTTAGAGCTTCTTGGGGGCCCTGGGGCCCGGTCCGGGTCCGAGCCGGCTGCCCTGCCCCTCCAGGATTTCCGCCACGCCGCGCAGCGAGGGAGGCTCGAACTTCGGCCTCCGATGAAGGCAACTCGTCTTCCCTTTAAGATGCAGAAACTCCTGGCCCGCACCCCCGCCCTCCACCGCCTCCACCCCTTCCCTCTCCGCCCCCGCCCCAGCCAAAGCCCCTCCCCGAGCCCTCAGCTTGGGGGCCTCCCCGCCACCTGCCCGCTGCCCATCCCACATGCAAAGCGTGACCGCCAGGGAAGGAAGCCGAGCGCGCGCCCACACCGGCCCTGCGCCGCGGCGACACGGAGCAGCTCGCCTCCGGCCGTCTGCGCTTACCCAGCATGCACTTCCAGGCCCCGAGCTATCTCGGAGCTGCAGCCCCGGGGTCAGAGCGGCCGGAAGAAACAGGAAGTTTGGGACGGTCCTAGTCGTGGGGCCGGGAGTCCTAAACTGCAGGCCCTGAACAGGCGCTGCCTCTCCCTCCCCCTGCCCCCTCCCTCTGGCGTACTTCCCTGGGGTCCGTTTCGGGGGCTGGCCTGAACTCCAAAAATCCAGATGTGTTTGGGGGTCATTCAAGGCACACTCCCAGGGTTCCCTTCGCCGTAGCATCTAGGGCTTCAAGTCTCAAGGGCTGGGAAGGGGAGGGAGTGCTCCCGCCCTGGTGGGGTGGTAAGGCCCAAAGGTAGTCTTCTGCCCGCCAAGAGGGAGAAAGCCGCTAGATTGGGTGGAGGTGGAGGATTGGAAATTAACCTCCCGCCACCATCTCTTGGGCAGGTAGGGCAAGCGTTGGAACCTATGCTGAGTCCAGGGTTACTCTCTCCCCTCCCTCTGCCAGTTAGCTTTGCTCTAATCTGCCCTCCACACTGACTATTATCCTCAGCAAGGTCTCACCAGCGTGCACTGTTGTTCACCAGGGGCACCAGGCAAGGAACAGGGGACACCTAATGCAGCCCTACTCCTTGGGCAGGAACTGCAAAGGGCATGCCCTGTTGAAGGTGATCTCCATCTGAACTCTTCTTTTGCCAGGCAGAAAGGACTGAATTCTCAGTTCCCTTGGCCTCCCCCTCAGCCGCCATCCCCCCATCCCAACATGAGCTAAACTAGTGCACACACAACCTCAGTTAACCTCACTTGAGCCTCTCCTGGCCTATAGTGGAGAGCAGTATGGGTGATGATGGATCACAGTGGGCTATGCTGATCCTAGTGTGCCACTTGGCCAGTCCCTTTGGGGTTATGTAGACAGGTCCTTTGTATGGACATGCTCATTCTCTTCCCGTTGCCTTATATACACCCAGCTCATTAGAGTTTTCTAAGTTCTTCGTGCCTTGACTCAGTTTGCATCTTGCTAGATTACTTGAGCTGGGGGGAAGAGAACAAGGATGAATATTTTGGAAGTAGGAAAGTGAAGGTAAACACTCACTGTGTATAGAATGATTGTGAGACCGTCTCAGACATCATTTCTGTCCCAGATACCCCCAGGCAGAATTAATTGGTCTCTTCTCTGTGCTCCCATAGCCTACAATTTATACCTCTATTTTAATACTGTATTGTAATTATTTGTTTACATGTTTCTCCCCCCTGCTAGATGGTGAGCTCCTGGAGGGGAGAAACTATGCCTTATTTATCTCTGCAGTTCCCTGTACAGATCCTCACTCACAAAAGGGCTGTTGAACAAATGAGCTAGAAGTGGAAGGGATTCAATTAGATGTCCTCCAGGATCTCATTCAACTCTAATAGTCTGTGATGCAATTTAAACATGCACACATAGATGCACCCACACATATGTAAACACACAGAGCAAACAAACACCATCATGCCACAGTCCAGGTATCATTGTAAGACCACTCCTTGGAAAGTGAACAGATGCTATGTGATGCCAAGCAACTGGCCTTTTGAAAGTTGAATCTCCAAACCTAAACATCTGAAGTGTTGACTGTCAACGTCACAACTGGTTTGGCTGATTATTTTTTCATTGCCCAACTTTTTAAGCAACCACAGCCCTATGTGTAGAAACAGTGAACTTTCTAGCTGAAAGAACCCTCTGAGATGCTCTGGTATAAGTATATTGATTTTACAAATGAGACAGTCCAAAGGCACACAGTCCCACATTTTGGACACTTGGAACATGCACGTGTATGACACATGTTTGTGCATATATTTATGCAGACACCTGCCTGGCTGCTGATATGTATAGATGTGGGTGCATCCCCAAAACAAGTGCAGCTACTACACGCGGGCACACCTTCCCCCACCACCCACTTAGCACACGAGGACAGCGCCACTCCCATGGGGCTGATGATCTGGGAAGGGAGGACAGGGTCACCTGGGCCTGGGAAGCCCTTGCCAGAGTGTGAAGTGGACAGAAAAGACCACAGGTTTGCAGCTGTCATTTACCGTGCTCAGCTTGCCCAGCTCCCCTCTGCTCTCCTCTGTCTGCAGAGGGCAAGGAGAGGAGACATTCCGGGCTCATTCCAGTGAGCCGAGTGCACGCTGCAGGCGTGGTATGTGAGTAAGCAGTGGCTTCCAGCTGCTGCCTTACACTTCGAGGGCTGACAGACAACCCCCTCCCCCCAAACTCAATTCGTTACCCACCGCTGGCCTCTCTTCACAATGGGCATGATTAAGGCAACCAGGACCACTGCAAGCTCCTCTCAAAAGCAGAGAAATGATGGCGTTTCTCCACCTCACCAGCCAGCCTTTTCCTAGGGGATCTCCTCTCTCAGAGCCACCTCTAACTAGAAGCTGAGGCTGACTTAAGTCCCCAGTCCACCTCTGGTAGCCCCACTACAGGGTGCTCCTTTAACAGTCCTGTGGATAGTTTGCACCCTCATCATTGGGGTCGATTCATTTTTCCCATCAGGGTCCTTTCTCCCACCTCCACCCCACAGAACGTGAGCATCCTTTCCTTACCTTTGTAGAGGGCTTACCACTTTCAAAAGGCTTTCCCATACATGTCTTACTTTACCTTTACCACAACCTTGCAAAGCAAGTATTAGTACCTTCATCTTAATATGCCAGGAGACTGAAGCTCAGAGAAGATAAGCATACTGCCTAAGGTCACACAGCTAAATACATGGGGATGGGGCAGAGCCACAACCTCCATCTTTAGCTACAAAGTGCATGCTTTGCCCACTCTGCTGCCCTAATGCCCAGTTGAAGTCTGGCTCCCCAAAGGGAGCCACTTTTCTGCTTCTTTTATATCCCCAGGGTACCTGATGTAGGACTGGCTCTGTACACAGTGTGCATTCCGAGGCCCCCGTAGACAAATAGACTGATGACACAACCAGCCAGTGAATCCTGGAAGCTCCAGGAAGGGAGAGACACTCGCAGACTAACTCTGCACCACCAGAGTCTTTTCAGCAGCCCCCACTCTTTATGTCTCCTCTCTGTCCTAACTTCCTCAGAGAGAGCATTGCCAAGGCCACAGAGAGCATCCCGAGGGTGTAGACCCCGGCTCTCCCCTCCCCCTCGCCTTTGGGGCTTCGGAGTGTTTAGAGCTCATGAATAAAGCTAATATTGGAACTAGTTTTATACTAGTCGGAGAGGAACTGTTGTCTGGATCCTTCTTTGCAGGGACGGATTGTGTTAATAGAATGCCCTGAGGCCCCAGCCCTTTCGCGCTATCTGCCTCCAACTGAAGGCACTCCTCCCCTCTCTTAAGAGTCTCAGCAAATTTCCCTTGAGGGTGGCTGTACCCGGGAGCCCCCCAACACCGTCGGACTCCCACGCCGTACCTGGGCCCCGCCCTGACTGTTCTCAGAGGTGTGGTCAGCCCTAAGGCAAGCTGGGGCAGGAAGTGGTTGCAGTTAGACACTCCCGCCCCGCACAGGCTGCCACTACCAGAGCGACAATGCTAAGTCGGCCGGCACCAAACGTCAGGGTAGAGGCTGTAAGAGAGCTCGGCCGGGCTCCTGGGCTGGAATGAAGCTCCTTTCCTGAAGGAAGGGAGTTTCCGAGGCTGGGCGAGGCTGGAAGCTCAATTGACGGCAGGTCATATCCAGGGATGAAGGGAGGGGTCGTGGGCTCCGTCCCAACCCCAGCATGGCAGCCGCTCCGCACCATCATCACTTTTTAACCTGGCCACTAGCTAAAAGCAGCTTTTCCCTGCTGTTGGGGCCCCCTGTTCACAACTGCCAGGACAACGGCCCTGACCCCTCCTACTGAGGCAGGACAGGCTTTGATCCTCTACCGCTGCAAACCACCAGAGCACAGTGGCTTTATACCCCCATTCCTCCCTAGTTTCTTGGGCACTCCCATCCGGGGTAGGCTCCTGGCCAGGTGGACAGTGTGACTGGTTTGGCCACAACCATGGGCTAAATACTGTGCAGAAGGAAGGACGGGGAGTTTAGGAATGTCTGAGATGGCTTCAGAACTCCGTGGAGGGCTTTCACTGAAAGCATCTTTAGCTCAGAAAACTGGGGCTGCATTAGGGGAACAGAGGTAGAAGGGGGCTCAGTGAAGAGACTGGAGCAGTGAAGAAGATACGGGAGTCCAGGAGAAAATGGGGCTGAGTGAAATAGGTTTAAAAAAAGAAGCCCACAAACCCAGTGGACACAATGAGGGCTCCTCTTCGCCCTTCACTAGCATCTTCCCCTGTAAGCCCTGGGTTCCTTTAGCATGTCTGTACCCTGCAAAGCCTACACTCAGCATTTGCCTCCCTAGCTTCAGGGCCCATTTCAGTCCTACTAAAAGCTTCATGGTACCCTCCTTTCCCAGTTGTATTGAAGCTGCTCTCCTTCTCCCAGGCCAGGCCTGCCCAGTCCCAATCCCCTGAGGCAGGTTGGAGCTCACTTTGGGGCTGGCAAAAAAGCAGAGTCTCCCCTCCCCATCCTGCCCATCCTGGCAGGATCCAAAGGCTTTGGAGTCCAGTTTGGGGGCTACTGATCAGCGGCCCTCTTCCCTGGGATTCCAGGCTCCTGGAGACTGGGAAGCTGAGTCATAGGCAACTTCAGGCTCCACAGACAGCCCAGCAAGACAAAGAGGGAAGACATAAAGAAAACGGTGCAAAAAGATAAACCAAGGGGCAGGTGGGTTACCTGGGGTCCAGGAGGGACTCTTAGCCCCAGCTTAGTCTCTCTTCACTCCCAGATGGAGATCACAATCAATA